TTTAAAAAGAAAACGTACACACATAATAATATAAAGATATAGGTACGCTAGCAATGTATACGTATAATACACGCGCATTATTATAATAATGTGCAGTAGGTACATGTGTTAATAATACGCGTTACATATTTTAACGTATGTGTAAGTATATTATATAGTATCAAGTTTTTTTTCTATCGGAACGAATTATATACGATTAATTAAATATTTTGTCTGCGTAATAAAAAAATGTTTTATACATATATATACATATACATCCAATTATTATATACACTACATATCTATTGCTGGTATAGTTATTGTGGTGCTCTCGCCAAATCCTTTAAGAGGACGCCACACCTACATAATATGTGTTGTCGGTCCGTTTTACAAACGTACGTAATATGCAATGGCAAATTTGTTTCCAGTAGTTCCAATTTTGTGTAGTTATTATCTACTTCTAACAACAGCTGAGTTGACCTATGCATTGAGGTGAATTTACCGCTATTGTCAAACTTAAAGGTATAAGAAAATATATTATTATGATATTATGTTTTTTCACATGATGCGATTTGTACAATATTTTGATTTTCTGTAAACGAGTTATGAGAATTGTTAAACTGTATAATATTATTTACATACTCGTAATTAGCTTAAAAATTGAAATATCATACAAAACCCAAGCGAAAACACTGCGATAATGTTCTTACCTAAAAGTTGATACTAGGTCAATTCATGTACTCTATTATTAATTAATAGGTTACTACACAAAATTGGAACTGCTGAATATAAATTTTAGTACAAGGCGGAAACAGCATTGTGTGGTGTCCTCTTAAACGACTATTGAACGTTGCAGATATATTAAATATTACAGCCGAGTTTCGACAATAATTTGAACGAATATTTTCATCGTCTTGTCCCTCGAAGTTATATCTATTCGTGTTGTTTACTCGACGTCCTATAGCTCGAAATAACGCGCGTGCGTGATAAACAAATTTTATTTCACCTCCTCGAGGTAGTCGGGACTAGACTGCAGGCTATTATAATATTATGTGTCCGGCGGTAGCAATAGTCAGTTTATAATATGTTGTGTCAAAATCGTAGCTTTATCATGTATAATAATTTATTATCCGACAATATAATAATATCGTATTTCGTTCGCGTTACAATATGTTCGCGAGCACCCGAAAATCACTTCTGATCGCTGTACTAGCTATAATTATTATGTCGTTTCTGCAGTCATACACGTGGACGCACGACTATTGCTATGCTGCACTATTTAGGTATGCGGCAATTTAATGACTACCTATGTTATTATTAAAAATATTATTATTTGACAGTTGAAAAAAAAACGTAAGAAATGAATTCGTCGCGATCTGCAGCGAGAGCGTCGTCCGCGGCTGCAGGGCGGGCGGCGACAAGACGATATCCTTGAAATGCTACCGCATATACCCATAATAATATTGGTATATCGTATATGATAATGATGTTATGCTCGTATATAGGACGCTATAAACGCGTAAACGGGGCAGGCAGCGATTAAGCGCAGAAACGGTCGTAGCGTGATTATATTATTATTTTGATAACCTACATTTAAATCGTTTGGCCGACTATATTATAATATAGGTAGAGTGTAGGCTATATTATAACGCGAGGCGACGAGAGTCGTTTTTAATTAAAAAAAAAAAAATCGACGAAAAAAATAACAGACGCAAACAAAATATAGTACTGATATAATATATATTATAATAAAAATAATAATAATATTAGATAAGGAGTTATACCTGCATATGTACCTGTTGTACACTTCGCGCGTCGAATCACAAATTTCGCGCACGCCTATTATGCACACGAGCGCGCTCCCGTTCTTATTTTTTACGACACGTGGTAGGTAATTAAAAACAAAAATAATAATATTGTGTTTAATTATTACAATTTTATAGGTACGCTGTAATGTATATATATAACTCGCGGGTAGAACGCGATGCGGTTTGAAAACAGGAAAATATCAGCTCTCAGTCAGAACTGGTTTCGATAAGCGAGTACTATTATTATTATTATTATTATTATTATTACTATTACTACGGGTCAATAAATATTATTATATTATGTATAATATTATCGTCCGTGTGTTAGTGCGAGCAGATAAGCTCAAAACCGCGCCCGGTCCAGATTTGATATGCGGTGTGTGTGTGTGTGTGTGTGTGTGTGTGTGTGTGTACTCTGCAATATAATAGTATTACTTATATTATTTTGTTATTTTCATTATTATAATATATGTCTGTGCATGTCGTGATGTGTTTGTGCCAGTTGATGATTTCTCGATCCGCTGCACAAGGGCAACTAAATATTTTTTTCCTCCAAACTAACCTTTTCAACTTGTCCCGCGATATCTCAGTAAGCTGTACACTCGCGCAGACCGAGAAATACTGATTTACAATATACATATAGCCATATCCATATAGGTAAATATTTGATAAAATGTTTTCGTTCGATGCTAGTGTTCATTCTATATATTATAGTTGTTTAATTTTCGATAGAATTTTGAATTTACATACAATATCAGTTGCGTACCTACCTAAGATTTCTGAAAAGGGCGATAGGCAATAAATAACCTTATAAAAATCAAATTTGTATTGTTAGTACTGTATATACCCTTATATTTATCATGAGGCCAAATAAATAATATTAAGATATTGAATTTATCCCACTGAAATGATAATAACAATTTTAACAACTTTTTATTTATGTTTAGGTATTGTTGTCTCGAGCGTCCGATCTAATACTTTCTTTCTTCTGGGAGATTTTTTTATAAAAGACTGGTTAATATTTCTTTTTCTATTTGGCAAAAATACGGAAGATCTTGGGTATGACCACTTTGCTCAACCCCCACCACCGGCTACGCCACTGAAAACAATATATTACACACCCTACAGGTAAAACGAGCCTTGCTCTATATTTCTTGCAAAATCGAAAACTGTCTTCTAAAGTGTTCGTATCATCAGTATAATATAACGTGAGAATGTCCAAAACCCGATTGCAATGACCACCTTGCCTCTGATGTCGATCCCACAAAAATCAAAAACTCCATTGCAGTTTTATTCACAGTCTGGACCGCAACTTATGTTTTGGGGCCTTGGGAAGTGTCTATAATATAACGAAATTATAATAACACGTATACACATTGCGATTTTGTGTATGGTCTTAAAAACACCAAGAATATAATATATTGACCGTCGAAACGCGTGATTGCAGTTACACTGTAAGTATTATTTTTCTTTTGATATAAATTTATCGATTTCAGCAAACTATACCTATACAGTCCTAATTTGCATTTCGGTTTCACAATTTGAAAATGTCATAACAATTTCGATAATTGAATACGCGCGCGTGCAGTGTCGTATATTATAGCGAGGTAAACATAATATGTACGACATGTTCTAGACGACGAAAAAGTAAAAGTTACAATCGCTTATTTTACTTTTGGTGGTGCCCATACGGCTATGTACCTAAATGTGATACGCGTAAAAAATAAAAAATATAGTGGTTACTCGAGCGTGGAAAACGGATTCATATAAATAATAATATTATACATCCGATTAAAAGCGGTACCTAAATTTGCGACAAAACAAAAAAAAAACTCAGCTGTGGCCGATTGTGGTAATAATAAGATAATTCATTATTTTATTATAAAATCACGTGTATAATAGTATACTGCAGATACAATTTAGATACAAGCCACAGCCGATAAAATCGTCGTTTTGAGTACATATTTGTATACGGCTGACAGAAATTAGATCAAAGAGTTAGGACTTATAAACGGCTTAGAAGCGGATGGATCGTCAATAGTCAATACCCGGAAATAACCGATACCTACATCGATTATATTTTAAATGATTAATACGAACACATGATAGTGTTGATAAAAAACTCAATAAATATTAATAATAAGACATTCTGAGGGAGATGGTTGAAAATTATATATCTTAAAAGATAATAAAAAATAATTCAACGTTTCAATTTATTTAAACAAACTCTCATAAATTCTCAAAGCTTAAATACGCTCTAACTTTTTTAAAAGTTTAATCCTATTTGAATAGGTTATGTCACTTTAGTTATAAAAGTCGGCTAGATATTCAAATGCCTAACATCGATACATTTTAAACACTTATAATTATAACAAAAACTCCATTAATCGATTTAATGACAACGAGTGCACCGTAAATAATTGAGTAGCAGTTTGTCATTTTTATATTTAGTGTAAGTACGCATCAATTTTATCGATAAAAATCTCAAGAAATACAGACAAAAACGCATACAAGTTTTAAAAATAATTATACATCACAATAAAACAAATATTCTTAGAATTGCTCAGAATCAATATAGTAAATTTTAAGTGGTTGTAAATTTTTTTTTTTAACCGTTATTTTCGCCAATTTTCTCGGTTGCGGATTATACTTAGATCATGTATTATGTAGTTTTATCGAGGGCTCCGTGATAAAATTAATAGCTGTGGATATATTATTAATTATTATTGTATATCTACTGCGCTACGCGCTCTCCACATTAGCCCCAACGACAAAAAACGATTTATCTGCCGCGGTGGCGCCAATCGAATCGATAATAATATTATTATAATATATACGTTATGAGTATGTATAGTGTATACGGACACTTGCCGGCGGCGGCGGCTGCTGCTATATATATGTGTGTGCAATGTGCATGTTTATGTATACAAATATGTGTTATAAGGGTTCATTAATAATCATGCACATATTAAATAGATTATAATAAATCGGTGGCCCTCGGGTCAAGTCGCTGAGCGTCGTCTTTCGTTCAATATATTATTAAATAAATGTGTATTATAAAGTATATATATCATATTACTATGTATATCAGGGCGCAGGGGTGGCCAAAAGATCAATCTCTGACGTTTTCAAAGTCGATCCCCCACAGTTAGAACTTATTAGTATTATTACCATAAATTTAGTAGATACAATTATAAACTGAGTTGTACTTACATATTCGGCTTAATCTGTTTGTGTGACATAACATTTTCTTACATGAAAGTCTTAAAAGCTGAATACCGAGCTGACGAACAACACTTTCTGATGATCATTTAGCGCAGAGTCTTCATTTAGTAGTTAACAACTTTTCCCAGAAGGCCAGATTATAATTTAACTGGTAAACGATGTATGCAAAGACATTCTTCTACACCAACTGCAGTACCTACAATGTTAATTTATTTTGAAATTATTTAGACGTTTTATGTTAAACACTGATTTTTAGATAACTTAATATTTTATTTTTTCATAAACATAAGAACCTATATATTTTGTTCTAAATATCGTAGTGACAAAGACTATAAAAAATATGAAAATATTGTTTGTGCGTCAATCTATTCTTACACAACAAAAATATTCTTAGTAGATCTCTTTCAAAAAAAGTTTCGGCACTCATGATGTATATATTGTTATATATGATTATAAGCTACATTGTATGATAATTATTATTCTGTTAAGAGAATATCGAAAAAAAATTTCTTCTCTCTTCATCGGTAAAATAATTAAGTATCTATAATATTACATATATATATATATCGGTACCAGCAACTGCAGATGACAGCTGCAGTCCACGGATGATTGCAACCAGTTAGGTCGGCCATTAAACAGTATACACATATTATTATGTGTATAATATTATCATACATCCATACAGGTACATAATGCGAGTAACATATAATCTGCGCGGTGCAACGAACGTATAATATAAGTTTTCGTCCGCTAATTGGATATACCTTTTATATTTTCACACATAAACATGCGTATCCGCGAGTATATAGATAAATTTTAAAAAAAATATGTCAACCGTAATGATAAAAATATAAATAACGCCAGTTCGTATCATATATATATGTATATACAAAGAGCATTTATTTTTTTAGAGCAGAAGCGTACTATGTGCACAGAATATACTTGGTTTGTTGACAATTTTTTGCCGTCGAACTGATTGGTACGATATAAGTACCACAGTCAGTGATATAGGTCACTATATAGTGACATATTGATGAAATCCAATGTTTTTAAATTCTTGAATTTTACCCAAGGAGTGTCTAGTTGTGATATACACTTCTGTTCTAATGTGAACACCACAGAATGTTTTTACTTTACATTATTTAATGGACGATTTTATTGAAAATTTCAATGTGCCTAATATTTAAAAGTTCCAACAACCAGATTTTGAATAATTGCCGCAGCATTGAAGAAAGAAGGGGATGAGCATGATTGGTTAGTCACCCTGTATGATAAACACAATGATTAATTATAAGTACTACTATATTGAATGCGGTGGGTATACGTCTTCTTCGACTGTGCGTCTACAGATTTCTAATGTACCTACTCATACAGGATAAGTAGTGATAGGTACCTGTAACCACACTTAAATGAGCGAAAAGTAAGAAAAAAATGTAAATTTACTCGCCGACCGTGTTAACGTACACTATTATACACTTAATGCATGCAACGCACACTCCGTAGATCTCGGCTCAAGAGCAGCGTATAATAATAATAATATATAAAATATATTTTATGTGATAATATATGGCATCGTTTGGCCGCCGTCGAAAACACGTGAGTTTCACGGTTGTCGGACGGACGCATGCCGATAACCGTTTTTCACCTATTAGGCCCGCTGAACATAATATATCCTACAACAACACCCGTTAAAGCCGTTTTTACGGTTTTCATTAGTCACAAACGATATAATAATAATAATAATGTGTAGGTACAAACACAATATAATAGTGATTCTTGTATCGAAAAACACTCATTATTTCAAAAAAGACTATAAACGTTTTTGAAAATAGTTTTTTTTTTTAAACATAATTTCAAATCATCGCTAAAACACATTTCAAAATAAACTTTTTTTATTATTTTTTAACATCCCGTTATGATTTTTTTACTTACATTAAATCACATTGAACTACATTAATTTTTATTTTATATTCTGAAGTTACTGAAGCAGACAAGTTTTGGAGAAGGTAAACATCGCGGTATGTACCTATAAAAATCGAATTTTAAATTAAGGTAATTAATTAGTTATAATTTATAACCAGATAATAAATTTAACGTTTTAATGATCCAAGTGGATTGGAGAGGATACCACAAAGATTATCGGTCCACTTATCCACGCGCTCATTTTACTTGAATAGTTATCACTATACATGGTTAGGATGTTGTTGCATTTTGAATATTCTTTTGGAAAGTCCAAATTTTGCTTAATGAGATAGAAATCCGTTTCACTTACTGCAGATTAAATGTATGCTATGTTTATTTTGCATATTTTTGCATATTTTGAAGATTTTGAAGAACTGTATACTTTAATATTTCGAAATTTTGTAGGTCATATTATTGAGTTTATCTGTACAATTTCCAAATACTTTAATTTTTTTTTGATTTTCGTTCTTATTTTTTTTTTTTTTTTTTGTCAACAAAAATGTTCGATTTTGTTAAATGCTTAAACATGTCTATGTCTGTGGTTTCTTTTTTTTTTTATAAATGTAAATTTTTTTTTTTTTATTGCAACATTTTTGAATATAGCTTTTATTTTCTCGTATTACAAAAAAATATAAATATGCATTTATAAAAAAATACTCAGGCCACAGATACGCATTAAATAAAATTTAAAATTTTCATTGACAAAAAAAGAACACTAGCTAATGCGTAACACAGTATTTTCTAGTGATTATATATTTTGTCAATTTTGCATAATAACAACTTATTTTTAAGGCTATATTTCGTTTTTTTTATCACTCGTTTTTTGAATGTTTTTTTTAATGCTTTTGAAATTAAAAGTGTTTTTATATAAAAACGAAAAAATTACACTGTTTATTAAGTAGTAGGTATTACTCGCACACGATTTAAATTCCGGAACAGTATAATTGTGATACATTTACATATCTAGAGCTTATAGATTTGCTTGAATGCTCGATGTTTAAAAATTCACAATGATTTCTTATTCGTTACAATACATAGTTATCTAATATTTATGGGTTTTCGATCATCGCCGTGTTATTGTCAATGATGTATGTCATCATCGCCGTTGTTCTTCTTTATTTAAACGACATGAATAGATGGATACCTAAGGTAATTTTTTACTGCTTCAGATTCAGGACACATCGTGGACCTCTTTTTAAGAGTAGAATATTCTACGGCGAGTTATACGCACACTGCTGCAATAACCAACCCTCGATGTTATTCCACCGTTAAGGGTGTCTCGGCCGACTAACCCACGATATGCCAGAGATGCGAATTCAATTAATATTTTCAACCGACGTTGAAATAAAAAACGAATAGTTGTGAGTAAGGAATTATTACTTGTTTACTATTCTTATTAGTGACTTCAAATAATGGAGTAAGGAGGTGAGACGGGAGAATTTTTCAACGCTAGCATAAATAAAGAAATTGATCCCTCGTATCACTACGTGGACTGAAGTCAGAAAGGGACAGTGATTGTATACGTCAAAAAATAGCTTACATATTATTTTTGTGTACAACTGCCATAATATTCTAGTAAATTTTATTGAAAAATACTCGAACTTAGCCTATATAATATAACTCTTACTTTCAGGATATGCACCCAGAAATAATAGCGTTCTCGTTTGTTTATTTTTATAAATAACGTAACCTAACCTAGCCATTACAATAATTATACAAAATCTCGTATTACCAATAAACATACGTACCTATCTATAATATATATACCTATTATTGATCGGGCGGATATCTATTTGACTTAAATTATCGAGGACACTGCCCGCGAACACAACCTGCAATATTATGTTGATGATGATGTGCGAACACGTGTTCGAAGCGTAGAGAATTATATTTGGGTACCCATATACTTATATACACATAATATTATAATAATTATCGTTGAAATATATACGACTTTAAGGAACCTATATATTATATATATATATATATATCATATTTCATTATATAAGCGCAATAATTCGCGATGTGCGCTGGTTAATTACGCGTATATTTGTATACCTATATGTGTGTGTGTGAGTGTGTACAGATGAAGGCGCTCGACTCACAGAGTTTTATATATTATTATCATATGTGTTTAACGCTCGTCGAGTCGGATCAGAATACAATTACAAGGTTTTATGTAAATTTGGTGGGTACATTATAATATTATTATATATTATATACATACAAGATACACCCATTAAGCGTGTGTGTGTGTAAACACGGTTTAAAATATACGAAATCAAATTATTTTTATTGCATTTTAAGTAGGACGTCGTACAAAGTGTACAGATATATACGCACACGCATACACATGTAATAGGTGTATATATATACAAGTAAACTGTATACATAAATAAACTGTACGCGCTTTATGTGAAAGTTTCGGGTGAGCAAAAAATGCACGCATGTAATGACGACGACGAAGACGTGCTGCAGAATGTATTTCGCGCGTGGCAAATGACATATTTTGTGATTTATTGAACAAATAATATTGTTATTTTAGGCGTCGACGTAAACAAAAATAATCTTCTTCCGATTGGTGGTCGAACGAGGACACCCCATAACATAATGTACGCTATCTATCACAGCTGATCACTACACATGCATTGTGATTAGCTTAGAAATATTTTTTAATTATTGTGACGGAAACACTTTATATTATATTTTAAATATTACAATAGTTTGTGATGATATAATATATTATATAATTATTGCACAGGTACCTAACTAAAATAGACACTGTGTTATTCTAAAAACTGTACTTGGAGGCACGAATCGGTCTGGTTTTTGTTCAGATATTCAGATGGGATCATATCCATTGTACATAGAAAATATTAATCATCACCAAAAACGAGAATCAGAGAAATCAGATGTAGATTCGCAGAGCTCCACCAGAAATCTCACGATTTTCGGTATAGACGAATGACAATGTCAATAATTATTTTTTATTATACAATGTAATCGCCCGTCCCCCAGAATGTTATCGTCGTGATTTTATTTATTTTTATTTTATTTTATTTTACAATACGGGACGAACCCTTTAATACATGAATATAATAGTATAATAATAATAGTTTTAATAGTTTATTGAAACGTGGCTCAATATCAGAGAGAGAATGAAGGGTCAGCGTTGGCAATGCTCATAAGACGGATGATCGGTGAGTTAAGATAGTGATGTACTTATAGTATGTTTATATTACACATTATTGAGGCATATGTATATA